GGAATTTTATCTATCTTAATATTGGAATTTTGTAACAATGATTCAGCAACGTTTCGCAATCACCACGTAATATTGCAATGTTTCAGTGAAATCATTCTGCAATGTTTCTGCAATCTTTTTGTACTGTATGTATTGGTAAGAATTGAAATATATATCCTATAGAAATTAATGCCTTAAATGATCTAACTGAATCTTAAATAAAGCTTATATAATTCTGTGTGAATTTACTACCCCTATAGTTTACTGACCCCGATCTCGCCTATACTGACGACTCTTACTATATAGTACTTACTCAAAATTTTATTCTTTTAATGAGATTTACCTTAGTGATAAATGTTATAAGTATTAGAGTTCCCTTATGTCTCGAAAATTAGGCTCATTCGATGTGTTTTTATACGAAACGAACAAATTTTGTAAAAAGAAGCATTGTTTTGCGAAGCGAATGTGTTTAAAATATATTTTTATTAGTATATAGCTAAAGATGTAGCTTAAAATACATTAATCCTCATTTTAATACTCTTAGTCAAATTACCCCGGGGAGCTAGTTGAATGAGATGGAATGCATTAGAAAAATACATTTTTTTTCATATTAGTTACAAGTTTCCCTTTATTATTAAAATATTATTAGATAGTCAAATGTAATAACTAGTATGTAGTAACTGGTGTAGAATTCATTTTTTCGATAAGTCTCTTAACTTCGTCTGAAAAAATTCGAAACTGAAAAATGAATCTACCATTGTAGTAGTAGATTCTACTACCAAAAATTGTATTGTCAAAAAAAAACTTATTTAATATATTTACACCAGTACTGAAACATACAGGTTTATTCAGTGATGTAAGGCGATATACAAATATTGCCTTATATCTCTAAATAAACCGTTTTGAAGAATTTACTTTCAAAAAGCATTCCAGGTGAAAACATTTGAAGATCTTATAATGCTAATACAAAAATGTGTACTATATGTTTCAATACTGGTGTCAACATATTAAATAAGTTTTTTTTTGACAATACAATTTTTGATTATTCTGTATATAAATTGGTTATTCTGTATAAATTAAGTTAGAGACACATTCTATTCTTTGGTTGTATCGAAAGGTGCACTATCAGCACTATGTCATTCTTTATCGTTCATTAGATCTAAATAAAAAATAGAATGATGCAATAGCGTTGATAGCGCGCTCTCCGAACAAAGCAACAACTCTCTTAAAAATTAATAATATTATTGGAATATTTTACCACAATATTGCAGAAATATTTATTATGAAACATTTAATATTGCAGCAATGTTTATACAATACATATTAATATATTACCATGTAATATTATAGCAATTTTGTAATAATGTTACAATAGTATTGTAAAATTATATGCTATATGAGTAATGATGATCATTAAAAATAATATGATACGATTATAATTCTCTTTGCTAAGGCAAATGTCCTAATAGTGAAATACATCCCAGTATCTGACCAAGTTGAAAAATACTTATTACTCATTTTAAGTAAAAAAATATTTTATATATAATTATATAAAATTATGTAAAATTACATATAATTTTATATATTTATCTATAAATGGACATTTTTTATATATGTATAATTATATATAA